GCAGCCGCAGTGCCCGGCGCTAGCAGAACTCTTTCAGTGCAGTGTGTCATCTCATCCCCTCAGTGAGCCTTTAAGAGGTTCTGTGAAGGAGTTGTGGCAACAGCGGCAGAGCCGGCCCGGGCACCAGCTCCGTAACCCAGGCTCCAGCCCCACTCTCTGCCACGTTGCTACAGTCTTAGAAAGGGTAGAAACGTGCACGCGGCACAGCCGGTGAGAGGCGCCGAGAGCTGCCAGCATCTGAAGGTCGTCTGGGGCCGCTGGCCCAGCTAAGGCTGGCCCTGAGCTTCCTGCCGGGCAGCACGGGGTCCCCGGGGCTCCCACGGAAGCGCTCCTCTTCGACCCCCGAGTCCTCCCCGGGGCTGGCTGCGGTCCAGCGCCATTTATAGCAGCCGTCTGATTTTTGGGAGGCCCTCGGTCTGGTTTGTTAGGCCTGGGCAGCGGGAAGGAGGGCCTTGTGTCCTGGGCTGAGGGGACAGCGGCCTGCAGGTGAATTCTGACGGTCTCTCGGCCCTCCCCTGCCCGACAGAAATGCCTGGAGCTGAAGACAAGCTTGCTGGCCCGGCGCAGGGGCACCCAGTCGTCCCTGGACCGCCTCCGCGCCCTGCTCAGACTGATCCGAGGCGAGCAGGTGCTGCAGCTCACCGTGACGCGGACCGGCCCCGCCCCGCCGCTGGCGGGGCCCTGGGCCAAGGCCCCCGCGGCAGCCGTGCGCTCCGCCCTCCAGCACCCTCAGGGGCACAACTGAGCCCGGGGACCTGGCCTCGCGCCCGCGGGACGTCCCCGGGAGCCTGCTCACGCGCCTGGGGTCCCATCGGCCTTAATTCACAGCACTCTGAAGTTCAGACATGTAAACTAGACAGACGGAGGGGGAGGGGCCGGGCCAGGCTCCCGCAGCGGGGCAGGGTGGCGCTGGCCGTGGGGGAGACCACCGCCCTCGCGGCACCACGGGGCTCCCTGAAGCCCGCTGAGGGGCGGCGGCCCGGGCGGTGCCCCAGCTGCACTGGGCTGCAGGCCCGGGCTCTCCCCACAGCCCCAGCGGCTTCAGGGAGGCAGAGAGGGTGGGAGCACCAGGAAGACCGTGGGCTGCTGCCTCTGGGGTATCCTGCCAGAGGGAGACCAGAAACACAGAGAATAGCAAAGCAGTAGAGTTAGTGGGTTCCACGCCATTGCGATGAGGAATGGGTAGCAAAATCTAGGTAGGACTCAGATAACCCCCCCAGGGCCACCACACTCACAGGCGTCTGCCTGGTGCCCGGGTTCAGGCACCCCTGCACCTCGCTGGACCACCCGGGCCCTCCGTCAGTATTATTAGGGTGCAGATTTGCAGCTGTTTGACTTGAAAGACTGGAGCCGTGTGTCCCTGAGGGACCACATGGCTCCCCCGGCCCCCACACCTGCACCTCGAGTCTCGGAGCTCGCCGGGCATGCCTCCTTCCTCTGGCCGACCTTCAGGACTCGTTTTTGCCCTTGACGTATTTTTCTCATGGAGTTCTTGGGCCAGCCGGAGCCAACATCATGTGGAGGAAGCAGGTGCCGGGTTTTGTGTTTGGGGTCCCAGCGCACTGTGTGATGGAAGCCTCTCACGTTTTCCTTCTGAAGAGCCGTTAAGTATTTCACTCCTGTTTTCTTGCCACTACAGACACTATGCCAAAAAATAACTTTACATTTTTGTATGGCGTTTTTATTGTAAGATATTTACTGTGAAGGAGGGACACTTGCTTTTCTTCCCCCCCTCCCTGCTTATAGAAATCTCCGCTTCGAGGTACAAATGGGGACGCTTCCCCACAGGGAGGCTGTCGCCCGGAGAGACCCAAGTTTTTTAAAAAAAAAACTGGGGTGGAAGGTGGGGGGAGGAAGAAAGGGCGGTAGCCCTGGGAGGGTGTGGCCTTTGGGGACTCTCGAGGCCCTGCTCCTCGCTGGATCCTGAGTCAACTGGGAGCCTGAGGGGCCACTTGCCAACTTCCAAGAGCTGCTGTGTCCCGGGCCGGGCCGGGCTGGGCCCCCCAGCTCCTCGGGTTCCACGGAACTTAGCACAACACGACGAGCCCCCAGGGGCCCCGGGCTCCCGCCCACGAGCATATCACACGGTGCCGAACTGCATTGAACACACGTGTGCGTGTGCGTCCATGGCCACGGTCACACGCGCTCAGACACAGGTGCAGAGCAAGGGGCTGGCCAGGCTGCCACGGCCCACCTGTCACTTCACGATCCCGGGAGAAACTGTGCTGTACGATAGAGCTATTTTAATACACTCAACACTGGGTTGAACAAGATTTTTATATTCTTTTATCGATAAACCGTGAACCGTGTGAGATGCACGTCTTCCGTGTTGGCCGCTCTGCCGATTACGCACCTGCGCGGCTCACTACGCCAGCGTCTTCAGGTCCCTTGTCTGTCTGTCCGTTTTCTTCCCGGATGGATTGAAGTTAAAAAAAAAAATTTTTTTTTTAAATGTCACGGGAGGATGTGAAAGGCTGGATCCGGGAGGGGTAGCTACCGACGTGTCTTGAGACTTGCTAGTGTTTGACCGCGAGGACCGTCCAGTGGGTAGTGAGGGTAGAGGAAGTGTGTCTCTTAAGTAGACCCTATAGTTTTCCTTCTGTGCGATGCATTAAACGCAGTTGGTGATTTCAAAGCCCCGTGGCTTTCCTTTCCTTGCCGACCGCAGAGTGGTCCCCGGGAGCACGGGGCGGGGGGCCCTGGACAAAGCAAAACAAACCCACTGCTGTGGAGTCAGTGCCGACTCACGGAGACCCCGAGTGTTAGGGACGGAAGGGCTCCGCGGCGCTTCCCTCACAGAAGCAGACTGCCAGGCCTCTCCCGTGGCCCCTCTGGGTGGGTTTGAACTGCCAACCTCTGGGTTAGTAGCTGAGGACAGACCATCGGTGCCACCCAGGGGCCTGGGCACTGGACAAGAGGCCAAAAGCCAGAGTCCGGCCCCACGAGGGTGGGACGGAAGGAGAGAGGAGCAAACCCACACAAGGATCCGTGGTTGCAAGAAACAAACCCACCAGGACAGCTGCTGGGCGGGGCCCAGGGACAGTGTGCTGCCTGCCCCTCCCCGTTTCTGCTGCGCTGTCTGCACCACCGCTGTTCCTGCCTCAGGCAACGTGCAGATGAGGCCCCACGACCCCTGGGGTTTGCGCCTTGGCCTTGCCAAAGAGCAGCCAAACCGAGAGGCCACACACTGCGCCTCATTCCAAATTGTGTGAAATGGGGCTCCAATTGGCCCAGTCCGGTCAGGTGCCTATCCCCACGCCACTCAGCCATGGCCAGGGTGCAGGACCAGATACCAGAGTGGCTGTGCCCACTGGCCAGAGAGGTGGCAAGGGGTGGGTGGCTGGACAGCCAGCCTCAGCTGTCCACTGCAGCGTCCCTGTCCGTGTCACAGGCGGGAAAGCTGCAGGTCAAAGGAAGGGAGCCGGCTCTCCAGAGACACAACCAACACACGCACACACAGGTTCAAGGACCTGGCTCGTGATGGGGGGGCTGGCGAGTCAACCTGTCAGTGGGGGGCTGGAGTGCGTGGTAGCCTTGGGTCTGAGATCCTGGAAGCAGAACTCTTGCTCTCAGAAACCTCGGTTTGTGTTCTTAGGGCTTTCAACTGATTGGACAAGACCCACCCATATTCTCGAGGGTGTGTTTGACCAAATGCCCAGCCACCATCACCTAGCCCAGGGGCCACAGACAATGGACCATCACACCCAGGGTCACACAGCTGTGGGGACGGAGGCAGATTTCAGGTCTGCCTGACCCCAGACTGCACACTCTTCCTTGTCCTGTGAAGTCTTCATGGGCCCTTGAGAGCAGGTCCAGAGACCCCTGGGGTGTGACAGCCCCAGCCCTCTGGCTGCACAGCTCCAAACGCAATTCCACTCCCACCCTCCAGGGGCACTGCGGCCTCGACTCCAATTGGAGCTGCCAGTCATCACCTGATGCATGAGGCCAGTCCCAGACCTGGGTTTCCTGCCGGAGCCCTCTCCTGCCCCCCAGCACTTCTTGGTTGACCCCAGCCAGCCCCCTGGCTTTGTCTCCACGCTGATGCCCCCTGGTCCCTCCAGTGGAGTCTGAATGGTGACATCCAGCTGCTGAGGCCAGCGAAACAACACTGTCTCCACCAGGCCAGTTCCCTGACGCCTCCCTGTCCCAGGGACACTTCAGCCTTCCCGTCCTGCACCAGCCCCTGGGAGCCCGCCACCCGGCCTCTCCCCCACCCCACACCTGGTCACTGGCAAATCCGTCAGTCCTCCCGTGAGAACACAGGCAGGCCCTGTCTCACCCGGATCACTGCAGCCGCCTCTGCCTGGCCTCTGCCCCGCCCACTGCCACCCGCTCAGCCCAGCAGCTGCTGTTGTCCTTGAGTTGATTCTGGCCCCTGGCAGCCCCACGCACAGAGCAGAACTGCTTCATGGGGTTTTCAAGGCTGGGCGCCTTTGGATACAGAGTGCCAGGCCTTTCTCCTTCGGCACCTGAGGTGGCTTCAAACTGACCAACGTTTCCGAGAGCAGTCAACGACTTAACCATTTGCACCCCCAGGGACTCCAGCGGCTGGAATGAGACCAGCCATTATGTCATGCCTGTTACGTCACTCCCTGTCCCGCTCATTGGAAGTCCTTGCAAAGTCCCCCAAGGCCACGGAGCTCTGCACGACCCGGCCCCTTGGGCTTCATCTCCTCCCCACTGCCTCTGTCCCAGCCACCCTGGCCCCTCGCAGCACCTGGACCCCGCCACAGGGCCTTTGCACGTGCCGTGCCCCACCTGGTGGGCTCTTCCGCCGTGTCTCCCTGACTGTCTCCCCCACTTGCTTGAGGACTAGCCCGCAGCCCCTTCAGTGCAGCTTTCCCGGCCACCTGACAAAGACTTCAAGTTCCTCACCTCTTCCTTGCTGTCTGACTCCTCGACTTTCCCCCGCCTACGACAACTCCCCTTTGTGTCCTGTCTGTCCCCAGAGACTGAAAGCTCCATTGGACAGGGATCAGATCAGTTTGCTCCCCATGGTCCCAACCTGAGGGCTGCCGTGACCCAGGACCCTCAGGCTGCTAGTGTGTGTGTGTGTGTGTGCGCGCGTGTGTGTGTGTAGGAGCCACAGGGGCTGGTTTCGGCACAATGAGGGGCCCTCTCTCCAATGGGCAGGAGCCCTGCTGCGGCAGTGGCTAACACACTTGACTGCTGACCCAAAGGTTGGCAGTTTGAACCCACCAACAGCTCTGCGAGAAACAGATCTGGCAGTCTCCCTCCCTAAAGATCACGGCCTTGGAAACCCTCTGGGGCTGTTCCACTCTGTCCTGTGGGGTGGCTCGGAGTCAGGATCGACGGCAATGGGTTTTTCCAGTGGGCAGAGCCACCCCCTGGATGCGGTCTCTGGGAGAGACGGAGCTCCCTGACCCCGCAGAGAGGTGTAGGTGAAGAGGGGCGCTTGGGAGGGATTCCAGCCACAGCTGGGGGTTGGAGGGTGGACTGGCTGCCCACAGACCCCTACCTTTCTCCATGTGAGGGAGGGAAGTTTGAGACAAGTACAGGGTGGAGTTTGGGACAAGGACCCCTTCTTAGTAGCTCCCGCCTCCTCTCTGCACGACCCTATCCTCAGAACCCCCCGCAGTTCCTTGAGATATGGGGCCCACCATCACCCTACCCTCCGTTAGCAGCCTTCCTAATGCAGCCTGAGGTCCCAGGGGCTCCCCAGGCCCACCGAGCGGGTTGGGAGACCGTTCCTGGGCCAGTCAGCAGCCTCGTCTCCCGACCCCACCATCTGCTTGCCCAGTGGTGGGTCCCTCCCTCGGGGGCGACTCCTAGGAGGACGCTGTCTCAGCCACAGGACACTGGTGCTGGCCCCGGATGCTCTTCTGGGCCCCCCCACCAGGCAGCACCCACCC